ACAAGTATTTTGTTTTATTCATAACCTGTTAACTTCCAGAACCTAAACTAATAAGTTTTTTAAGTTCACTAACGCAACGATATAAAAATGTAATTTTACACATATTAACGGATTAACGATTAACGTTAACTTGCGTTAATTCTTCCGAAATGTAACGCTTTAACGTTTAACGAAGTTAACTTTTTTTGTAGCGGATTAACGATTAACGAAGTTAACTATTTGATTAACGGTGCCCAGCTATGTATATATATATATATAAATATTTGTTAATTAATATTTAATAATTATTTATTTATAAGTTACAGTGAAATCGTCAAAGAACATTCATTTTAAGATTAAGAAAAGTAATAGAAATTGAATAGTGTATATATATATATATATATATATATATATAAAATTTACAACATGAATAATAATATATAACATGTATAGATTGATAAAACAAATAAAAATAATAACTTAGATAATAAGCGCAAAACAATAAGAACTACATTAGAAACATATTGTTACAAGCCGAACACAAATAAATAGAGGCTGAAAAATTAATAATAATTAGATGGAAGCTTGAAAACTATATGAGTTTCACCATCAAAACAAACAAGCACAGTCTTATTTAAGATAACAATAAAACACAATAAACTATAAGCCTAACTAGAATTATCTATGAAACAAAAGCGTATTCATGAAATGCAATCCTATGTATACGTAAGCCTTAAATATTATATAAAGATTAAAACATTCTATAAAATTTAATCCCGACTAAAATGATCTTTAAAACCTACGCGTAAATGTAAAAGAAAAGAATCCATTAAAAATAACCCTAAAATGTAAATATATAAATAAGAAATAAATTGCCGTGTAATAAAAAAAGCCAAAACGAATAAACTGGAATCGAGATAAAAAGAATGAATTATAATAAAAAGCAAAGCAAAACTATTAATATTAAATACTACTACTATTAATATTAATATTAAATATAAAACAAGCCTTCTTGACAAAAAAGCAATACGGCGACGAATCGCTGTGATAAAAAGTAACAAGATGGCTGACGCGTTTTTGACATCTGAAATCATAGAAGTCAGGCTGAATTGTTAGTCAGCATGTCAAATTCTTAGCATGTTTTAATGCCTAGTATGACTATACAGTTTCCACAATTTTCCGCAAACACTCACGCACAAATTTTACAATTAAGGTGCGTCCACACCTAACGAACTCACATGAACAAGCAAGAATTGCGTACAAGAACGAAGGGCAACGAGCATAGTGTGGACGCCACAACGAACACGAACGAATACAAACATACATGGCGAGCAATGTTCCGCAACTTGTCGGTACATCAAAGAGAATTGTTCGTTCATGTTTGAACTTGTATGTGCAGTGTGGACGCTACCACGAATGTAGACAAACATTTTTCTTTTTTGATGTTAAAATGTGCATTCCTGCATTAGTTTATGTTATGTTTATTTTAATTTTACAATTATTTAAAATTTATCATAACTAGACGTTTTATCAATTTGTTGTTTTATAATTTTTTCGTACAGTTTCGTATGTTTTTGTGTTTTTTTTTCAAATTTATTTGTATGGTGAGTTTCTTCATATTTGTTTATTCTATGTTTGTTTTTCATATATACTTTCACAATATATATTAGTTATAAAACAAATTTATTGAATTGCTTTAGATTTATGCTTTTTCACATGTGTTTATGTATATTTATCTGTCATTTTGTATTTTTTTATATTGTTTTGTTTATTTATATATATATATATATATATATATATATATATGTGTGTGTGTGTGTGTGTATTGTATGATTCTGAATTTGATGTTGACATATATATTAACAAAGTCTAATAATCGGGCATAACATCAATAAAAGACATGAATTTCTTTCAAAAATGTATTTTAAATCCAAACGTTTTGGTTATAATCCTAGCCTTCATTCAGTGGAAATTAAAAATAAAATTAAAAACTAAGACAATTGAATTGGAGTAAAAAGAAAAAAATATAAAATAGTAAATAGTACTTACAATTAGTTAATCTTAGTGTTAAATTGGAAAATTTTAATAATCCATGGTATCAGGATATGGTAATGCACTAGACCAGTGATTCCCAAAGTGGGCGCCAGCGCCCCCTTGCGACCGCTGCGGCGATTTTGGGGGGCGGTGATGGGCTTTTGTGTATTTAGGGGGCGATGCTTAGTGTAAGGGGCGTTTAAAGCACTAAACTAAAAAATATTATAATATTAATATTATATTTAAATAAATGATTAAAATTAACACTAAATTATATAAAGATAATATTTTAGTTAAAGTTATTCAAACATATCTGCATAGGTGTATTAGTAAATACATCCGTTTTAAAACTGTACACCGCCAATTCTTGTTTCGCAAAAGGTTTAATGAAAAGAATGGTTCATACGTTTCTTTGTGTGTCAATAATTTGTGTAATTTTTCAAAAGCGTGTAACTTTACCAAATTTTGTAAGAGATTCTTTAAGAATTTTTTTGTAAGAGATTCTGTAAGATTGGCGGATATATGATCATTATTAGTCGTGCTATTAATTATATTTCTTTGATATCTACCCGTAACTATCCACTCGAATGCTGCGTCATGTGAAATAGATTTATCGGGGCCTAGTATAATTCTTTCGTTACCTAAAATTTCAAAAAACGTATCAACGCCTATCAACATATCTACTTCACGCGGAATATTTAAGTGTGAATCCAAAAGTTTTAATCTATTAGGAAGATTTAGTTAAGAAATTTGGATTTGCTGCGCGGGTAGTAGACTCGATATTTTCGTAAGCACAAATGCATTTATATTTTTTGCAAATGTACCATATTCATTAAATATTTCTAAATTTGTAAAATTATTGGATTTCGTTGAAATTCCAACAACACCGTGGAGCTTAAGGCTCGTGTATTGAGATTTAACGCGTAATTTTTGGAATAGCAATTTTGATATTGTATTAAATTTCGAGTCTAAATCCAATCTTGCTTGAATTTTAACGCGACTCCCTTTATTAGTTTTTGCGAACAAATTTACCGTAGGTACGAGCGCACCCCCCGTCATTCCTCTTCCCTCACATTAAAATTATAATCGAAATACATCGAAATACATCGATTGGCTTCTAAATGTTTAAAATCGGTTTATGCGTTTTTAAGCAAACATCGTTGAAAGTTCTAATTGTCAATTGTTGGTCTCATTCGATTCAGAATAGCTTAAAACGTCGAGAAAACATAAAATTAGCGAATCGGATTTTTTGATGAAAACAAACTTCTCCTTCGGAAAGTTTGTAAGGGGGCGCTGAGTAACATTTTTTCTGGAAAGGGGGCGGTAGGTGAAATAAGTTTGGGAATCACTGCACTAGACTATGTATTATAATCATTAAACTCGTAACTACACAATATTTTCACAAAATACTAATTTAAAAAATCACAATTGTATAGTGTGTTGTTCGTAGACTGATTGAAGATATAATGGAGAAAGGACTTTATAAAAAATATTTTTTACTAAGATTCTACACATGTGTGGAACGAATTGCGAATCCTTTGCGCGTCGTTTTTATTGTTTTGTGAGAAATTTGGAAATACTATCTAAATAAAAGACATTTGTGTCGCACAGCGTGTTAAGTTCATTCCGTTTATTTATTGATTTATTGCTATAAATAGGTAAAAAAGATCCTTCTATAATTCTTCGTTTGAATAAATTTTGTTCGAATTGTAGTACAGTCGGGTTAGAAAGGTCCATATTGTGTTTTAAAGTATAAATATGCTATGCTATCATAGTTTTAAATTGTCTTGGATTTTTTTAATTGTATTTATGGTGTTGTAAACGTTTCATTAAGTTCTGGATTGTTTCTCCTATGTAAATTAAATTACAATCTAGATAATTAATTTGATAGACAAGATTTCTAAGTCGTTCGATATTAAAAATATATAAATATATATTATATGACTCTGAATTTGATGTTGACATATGTATTGATAAAGTCTAGTAATTGGGCATAACATCAATAACAAGTGGAGTGTATGGCATCGTGCCTTAAGGCAAATTGCTGGAACTTTCCGTACCGTAACGAAATGATCGAGGAATATTAAATGTGTTCAAATATATTATTACAAATACTCTGTAACATTGTCTAATATTTATAAGAATTATACAAACTGAATTGCAAAGTTGAAATTATTTGTTTAAAGTATATTAGAACTCTAGTCAGAATTAAAAATAAAATCTGAATTATTTTCGATATACAAAAAAATTGAACAAAAAAGTTGAAACAATTTTTTTTTTCTCAAAATAAATTATTTTGTTAAGATAAGCAGAAAGTTCTTTGAATCATTTAAATCGAACGCTTAGTTCTCTCAAAAACTGTCATTTTTTACTCATTTATCTTTGTATCTTTGAAATGGCTAGCCCTGCCTTTGCCAAAAACTAATAAACACTTCTCCCAATCATTACAAATTGAATACGAGGGGCATGTAAAAAGTAAGGTTCCCAATGTTGTACATTCGTTGTGCGAGATGCTAGGAAAAATCTGGCAACGCCAGTTTCATTGTTGATCCCTCCCACTCCATTCCAAATATATAGAAATTCACTGCGAATATTAGTGCGAGTGTAACAGCCATCCGCGATGGCTCCGCCAGATATGAAATCCGTTCCGTAATTCGATTTTTAAACGCGAAGAAGCTTACACCTGTTGATATTCATAGATAGTTAGAAGAAGTTTATGGCAAATGCATCCTTGCATCAGCATCCAGCACGTCCGCAAATGGTGCAGGGAGTTCGCCAAAGGACGAACATACGTTCATGACGAGCAAAAGAGCGGGAGACCGTCGGTGTCTGACGATGTTGTGGCGAAGAGCTCTCTACTCCAGGATCGAAGAGTAACGCTTCGGTAACTGGCTGATCGGGTTCCTGAAATTTGTCTAAAATCCATCAACAACATTTTGACCAAAAAACTTGGTTATCACAAGGTGTGTGCGCGGTGGGTCCCGCATATGCTTCCAGAAACCCACAAAGACAATCGTGTCAAGTGTGCCGAGTGGTTTTTTCGAGAATGCGCCGAGAATACTGAAGAATTCTTGGACTCCATTATTACGGGAGATGAAACGTGGTGTCACTACGTTACTCTGGAAACAAAAGAAGACTCAAAACAATGGCGCCATTCCAGGTCGCCGAAGCCGAAGAAGTTTAAGCAGACGCTGTCCGCAGGAAAAGTGATGGCTACGGTGTTTTGGGACCGAAAAGGCGTCTTGCTTACCGAGTTTATGCCTAAAGGGACCATAATAAATTCGGACATGTACTGCGATACGTTAAGAAAACTCAAAAGAGCCATCCAAAATCGCCGGAGAGGAAGATTGAGCAAGGGCGGTAGGATGCACCACGACAACGCGCGACCGCATGTCTCTCGACAGACCACCGCCTAACTAGAAAAATCCGGGTGGAAATTGCTTGATCATGGCCCCTACAGCCCTGATCTTGCTCCCAGCGACTTCCACTTGTTCCCAAAATTGAAGCAACACTTAAGTGGACAACGCTTCAGTACAGATAAAGAGGTGATGGAAGCGGTCAACAAGTACATTGGCGACCTAGCGGCGGAGTTCTTTGAAGCGGGTTTTCAAAAGTGGATAATTCGTCAGAAAAAATGCGTTGGAAGATCTGGTGACTATGTAAAAAATAGTTTGAAATACAAGCTTTCCGATTGTATACATATTTATTGCAATAAAAAATGCCCAAACCCAGAAAAAAATGTGGAAACCTTACTTTTTACATGACCCTCGTATTTTTAGATCATTTAAATCCGATACTCCGTTCTCTCAAAAACACAATTTGTATTTTTTGCACTCTTTGCTCCGTAACTCCGTAACGGCAAGACTTGCCTTTGCCAAAAACTAGTCAGCACATCTCCCTATCAATAAAAATCGAATGTATTTTGAGCCATTCAAATCGGTTGATCCGATTTCGCCCGAAAACGCGACTGGAAATTTGTGTCCATACATAGGTACATATACACACACGCATCCATTTTTTCTGAGGTATATCAAAATGTTCAGAAACCTTCAAAACGTCGAGAAATGTAAGAAATTTCAATTTCGATTTTTGGCCCATTACAATAACTTACCCTACGGGAAGTTAAAAAACAAGAATTTCTTTCAAAAAGTCATTTTAAATCCATCGACTATAATCTAAATAAAACTAAAAATAAAACTAGTGGGGTGTATGGCATCGTGCCTTAAGGCAAATTGCTGGAACTTTCCGTACCGTAACGAAATGTTCGAGGAATGAAATTCTGAATGTTTTCAAATAGATTATTATTAATATTGTAACATTGTCTAATATTTATAAAAATTATATAAACTGAATTGCAAAGTTGAAATTACTTGTTTAAAGTATATTAGAACTATAGTCAGAATTAAAAATAAAATCTGAATTATTTTCGATATACAAAAAAAATTTTTTTTAAAAAAAAAAAAGTTGAAACAAATTTTTTTTTTCAAAATCAATTATTTTGTGAAGACAAGAAGAAAGTTCTTTGAATCATTTAAATCGGACGCTTAGTTCTCTCAAAAACTGCCATTTCTAACATATTTAACTCCGTATCTTTGAAATAGCTGGGCCTGCCTTTGCCAAAAACTAATAAACATTTTTCCCAATCATTACTAATTGAATGTTTTTTAGATCATTCAAATCGGATACTCCGTTCTCTCAAAAAGTCGATTTCTATTTTCTACACTCTTTGCTCCGTATCTCCGAAACGGCTGGACCTGTCTTTATTGACCCTATATTCTGAAATATTAAAAATTATTGAATTAATATTGAATAAACACCATTAATAAAAAAAAATTATGTATTCTGAGTAAATATATACATTTTTTTAAAAAAATCAATATATTGAATTTTATCAATTTTATTACAATTTTCAAATCATTTTTTATGATTTTAGGATATATAATATTTAAAATATATTTAGTATCTATAATATAACATTTTGTGCCATAATTAATTTTATTACAGTCAACATATTATTTTTCATGATTATAGGATATAAAATATTAAAAATATATTTAATATTATGATATAACTTTTCGTGCCATAATTAATGTTTATCTGTGTATAAGTACTAATCATTTGAGATATTAAGAGTTCACTTGTCTGTTCACTTGATTTTCCACGTTAGTGAGGTTATAACAAATTATTATTTCATATTTCATTCCGTTTATTTATTGATTTATTGCTATAAATAGTTAAAAAAGATCCTTCTATAATTCTTCGTTATAAATCCCAGTAAAAGATAGCGTAAAATATCTCGGAATACACTTGGACACAAAATTGAACTGGAGAGTTCACATTAACAAGAAAAAACAGCAGATTGATGAACTATTCAAAAAACATTACTGGCTACTGAATAAACGTTCCGAACTGTCGACGAATAACAAACTAATTATTTATAAATGTATTTTTAAACCAGTGTGGTCTTATGGGATTCAACTATGGGGCACCGCCAAAAAAACCAATCTACAGATTATTCAGCGAGTGCAGAACAAGATCATATGTTGCTGTCCTGGTGAATCAACCCAACTGGTTGATTCACCAGGACAGCAACATGATGACAGTAAATGAAGAAATTCAACAAAAAACAAACAACTACAAAAAAAGAATAGACGAACACCCAAATTACTTGGCACACAATTATTATTATCTTACTATTTCTATTATTGTTATTTTGTTATATTTTATTATTTTTCTAGTATTATTTTATTATTCAGAAATTTTATTTATATTATTTATTAATTTTATTTTTATTATTATTTGCTTATATTTTATATTAAATCATATTACGGATATTATTTTCATGTAATTTTTATCCTTTGCACTTTTATTTATTTAAATTTATGTTATTATTTATCAATATTACTAGATGTTAATAATTTAGCAGTTGTAATAATTATTGAAATTAAAAAAAAAATATGATTATAGGATATAAAATATTAAAAATATATTTAATATTATGATATAACTTTTCGTGCTATAATTAATGTTTGTTTGTGTATAAGTACTAATCATTTGAGATATTAAGAGTTCACTTGTCTGTTCACTTGATTTTCCATGTTAGTGAGGTTATAACAAATTATTATTTCATATTATACGCCATTGATTCTATTATTCACTACAATTTCACACACCAAGTTTTGTTTTTAATTTCACAAAATAATATTTTATTTACACATTAACTTTTATTAATTTTATCGCAGTTTACACACTCACTATTATTATTGTTTATTAACTTCCCGTAGGGTAAGTTATAGTAATCGTCCAAAAATCGAAATCAAAAATTTTTACATTTCTCGACGTTTTGAAGGTTTCTGAACATTTTGGCATACCTCAGAAAAAATGGATGTGTGTGTGTGTGTGTGTGTGTGTTTTGTATGTCCGCGTTTTTTCGTCCACGTTTTTGGGCGCACGGATCAACCGATTTGAATGGTTTAAAAAACATTCGATTCCTATTGATGGCGAGATGTGCTGATTAGTTTTTGGCAAAGGCAGGTCCAGCCGTTACGGAGATATGGAGCAAAGAGTGCAAAAAATAGAAAGCGAATTTTTGAGAGAACGGATCAACCGATTTGAATGGTTTAAAAAACATTCGATTCCTATTGATAGGGAGATGTGCTGATTAGTTTTTGGCAAAGGTAGGCCCAGAGGTTTTGGAGTTACAGAGCTAAATTTAAAAAAATGGCTGTTTTTGAGAGAACTAAGCGTCCGATTTAAATGATTCAAAGAACTTTCTGCTTTTTTCAACAAAACAATTGATTTTGGAAAAAAAAAATTTTTGTTTCTAATTTTTTTTCAAAAAAATTTTTTGTAATTTTGGACTAAAAATTCAAAAAATCACCAAAGCTAAGCACAGTCTAAGCGCCACTCTGGTAGAAATGTTTACGCAAGTGCGTTTAGACTGTTTGTGTACTGGAGCACTTTTCCAATTTTGTGAAAATTATTGAAAAATGTGAAAATGCCGCCAAACTGAGCACAGTATAAGTGAAAATGTCGCACAGAATTATTTGCAAATGCGTTTAGACTGTGACTATGCGGGAGCACTTTTTCAATTTTGTGTAAATTTGGCAACTATTTTTTTTTGGAATTTGATTCGAAATGAAATGACGATTGTTAATGTTCTGGAGATCATAATTGATTTATTTATAATTAACTTTCCATAGGGTAAGTAATCGCAAAAAATCGAAAATGAAAATTTTTATATATCTTCACGTTTCAGAGGTTTCTGAATATGTTGGCATACCTTGGAGAAAATTGATGTATGTGTGTGGGTATGTGTGTGTGTGTGCGTGCATGTGTGTGTGGTCGGATACAAATTTTCGTCGACGATTTCGGGAACACGGATAAAGCAATTTGAATAATTCAAAAAACATTCTAACCGTTCCGAAGATATGGGGCAAAAAGGGCCAAAAACGGTAACTTAGTTTTTAAGAGAACGGAGCATTCGATTTGTATAGTTCAAAAAACATTTTACTTGTATTAACAAGATGAAGATTTGATCAAATTTTCATGAAGATAGGACTAGCGGTTTCGGAGATCTAGTAAAAAAAACTAAAAAAAAATAACATTTGGCGGTCAACAATAATCATTAGACATTAGACATATGCATATCAAATTATCAGATATTTTATTGAGATTTTTACAATAAGTATAAGTTTTGTTTACATTCCTATGGGTTCCGTACCATTGTTTTTCTGTTAGACAGCGACGCGGCGCTTACGCGCTTTTATTTTGTCTCTATGCAGTTAAAGCAGTACGATTGCTTTGAAAAAAAGTTCAGATCTTCCAAAATATATCAAAATGAAGATAACATTTTTCCAAAAAAAAATTTTATAAAAAAAAGTTTTAAAAATTTTTTTTAAAAAAAAAATTATTTTCAAAAAAAGTAATTTTTTGTCCAATTTAAAATTTCTAAAAAATCTTATTTTTTCGAAGTAAAATTTTTTCAAAAATGTTAATCGTTTTTAAAAAATAATAATTTTTGGTACGGGAAGTTCCAGCAATTTGCCTCAAGGCACGATGCCTTAATTGCCTTAAGACAAAATTCCACTTACAGCTAGTTACTTAAAGATTTAACAAATTTCTGGAACAACGCTTCGAGAAGTTTCTTGTGCCAACGAAGACGCGTGTGCGTGTGTCGAATTTCGATAGTTCGTATAACGGTATAACACCGCATGACACTGATGATTAATGTGCGGTTGAAGTATTTATATTCAAAACAATAACTAGCTGTAAGTGGAATTCTGTCTTAAGGCAATTAGGGCATCGTGC